GCCAAGTTCAAGGCTGGCATCTTTGAGACCCCATACACTGGTGTACCTGACGACGAGATCTTGAACTACCTTGGCACCGACGCCCACAAGAAGGTTGCCCGCGACCTGGACGCCGAGAGTATCATTCTGCTTGAGAACCACAACAACACTCTGCCCCTGAAGAAGGACGCACATGTTGCTGTCATTGGACCTATGGCCCACGGATACGTCAACGTAAGACCAACAAGAGAATTACATGAGCAAGAGCTGACCAAAAAATAGTATGGAGACTATGTCATCCACACCGCCATGGAGTACGGCGTGACTCCTCTCGATGGCATCAAGGCCGCCAGCGAGGGCCAGGTCACCTACGCCAAGGGTGCCGAGCGCTGGTCCAACGACGAGTCTGGCTTCGAGGAGGCCGTCGCTGCTGCCAATGCCGCCGACGTTGCCGTCGTCGTTGTTGGAACCTGGTCTCGTGACCAGGACGAGCTGTGGGCTGGCCTGAACGCCACCACCGGCGAGCACATTGATGTTCACGACTTCAAGCTCGTCGGCGCCATGGGCCGTCTCGTCAAGGCCGTCATTGACACCGGAAAGCCTACCGTTGTCGTCTTCAGCTCCGGCAAGCCCATCACCGAGCCCTGGATCTCCGACGAGGCCGGCGCTCTGGTCCAGATGTTCTACCAGGGTCAGGAGGGCGGTCACGCCCTGGCCGACATCCTCTACGGCAACGTCAACCCCTCTGGAAAGCTCTCGGTCGCCTTCCCCTACGACGTTGGCACCACTCCCGTCTACTACGACTACCTAAACTCCGCCCGCTCCTGGCCCAACCCGGGTAAGGAGTACCCCAATGGCACCTTGGTCTTTGGCAGCAACTACGTCCTGTCTACCCCTCTTCCCCTGTACGAGGTAAGAAAGCCCCAGCCTGTCATCTTGCGTGCCTATTCTAACAGCTGCAGTTCGGCTACGGTCTGTCGTACAGCACCTTTGACTACTCCAACGTCACCGTCTCATCCTCGACCCCCTCCGCGACCGACACCATCACAGTCTCCGTCGACGTGACCAATAACTCTACGCGCGACGGCCAGGAGGTCGTCCAGGTCTACATCAAGGACGTCGTCAGCACCGTCGTTGTCCCCAACAAGGAGCTGCGTGGATTCTCCAAGGTCCTGATCAAGGCCGGCGAGACCAAGACCGTCAACATCGACCTGCCCGTCGCCAACTGGGGACTGTGGAACATCAAGATGCAGTATGTCGTTGAGCCCGGTGACTTCAAGATCCTCGTCGGCTCCTCGAGCGACGACATCCGCGCGAACACTACCGTCACTGTCCAGTAGGTGTGGTGTCCGAACCTCTAACCTTGGGACAAAAAGGTTCCATGGGGTGAACTCTGGCCAACTTGAGGCCTCCTTCTCTGTACATATTGTGTAATGTTTGAATGGAAAAAACCAACGATGGAATGACACGCATTGAAGTAAAGTCTGCTAAACAAAACGCCCTGCCTCTCTCTTCAGGTGATAGAAAACGACCCGTGTGAAGATGCCCGTGAGTAATCGCCCTCGGCTCGTCTTTCGGCGTCCGCCGGGCATCTAGACTTCATCCAAAGATGCGTCGTTTCTCCTTCGTCAGCCCCATCTACACCACCACCACCACCGATTTCGCAGCATTCCGTTTCGGCCTGCCCTCCTGAATCGCCGTAGTGTTTCCAAAGTCAAAAAAAAGACAAGCTCAATGTGTTGCCGCCAACTAATGCCCAATGCCCCAAATCCCGCCAATTCATGCCCCCAAAATTGTTTCCACTGCCGTTTCTCAATCCCTTTCATCTCAACTCTTTGCCATATGACGAAATTCGCCACGACCTCCCCCCTTTTGTGTTGTCCCTTATCAATCATCCCGATTTGGAAATCGTGTCGTGATTCAGACAAAAATGGCCAAAAAGCGAGGCATGCCGTAGGGCAAGTATGCCCGAATGAAACCCCCCCTCCTGACCGTTATCTCATACCTCCCATAAACGACATCACCAGGTTTTGGTTCGGGCTCACAACCTCCCGGTTCGACTTTCTTGTTTTTCGTTTGAGTATCTGACCTGATGATCATCGACCGTCAGCAGAATGCAAGTAATTTTCAAAACGTCGGATGAAAATCGTTCCATGAGACAAAGTAGCAGCAGCAACAGTAAGAAAGTAATGATATACAGTTGCATCCGTCCACGCAAGTCGTACGCAAGCCCTTTCGGAACACGCCGGAGCGAACAATAAGGAAAGGGAACGCATAGAGAATGCAACCCTTTGTATGTCCTTCGGTGTCAACCACTCAGCGATGTTGTTTGGTAACGAGAAATACAAGCTTGCTATAGGGCGGGCGGCGGTACATGTGTAGTTCCGTGTTCATCAGACGCCAAGGCTCGAATTTGTAAGGGCTGTCGGTTTCTGATACTCGACGACCCAGACCAAAACCAAAAACCCAAAGAAACCCCACCGAAGATCCCGAACAACAGATGCAACGCACGGTCGGGTCAGCGCTCATCCAGAGTCCACCATGAAATGCCAAGCTGGCAAGAGCGGAGAGACTCTGGCTACTCGGCCTCGTGAGCAGATAGCAACTTCTTGAGAAGAGCAGAGGAGAGCCAGACTGGACAGAGTTGAACATCAGTGCTTGACAACCTTGGCGCTAGCTGTGTCGTCTGCCCCCTCCCCGCCCAGGAATCGCTTCATCTTGCCCTCGACCGACTCAGTCACTTTCTTGTTCTCGCAAGAAGCCTAAACCCAGAAAGAAAAGAAGACTGTGCCTGCTTGGCTGGTCCGGTCCCCTCATTGACGCCTGCCAAGAAAAGCCAATCTCTCTTTTCCCCTCAACCCAACTTCTCTTTAGGCTTTGGGGGGATCTCTTAGGCTTTTTCTTTTGGGGATCTTCCCCAGATCCTCGGTGCTTCCCGTCAAAGAGGCTCAAGATTTCGAGTCGAAGAAAAGTAGCTTCACTTTCGAGGTGCTGCGTTCGCCGCGATACCCGTCTGTGCCTCCTGCAGATACGCACCTAAGCATGCGAGGTCTGCTGCGTATGCGCCGCAGCCTACATGGCACACCACACGAGAAAAGAGAAACAAAACCTCAGCAACAAAAACTTCTAGAACCACCACCACCACACGCACCACCGCACACCATCATCGCCGTCGATCTCTCCCATTCAAAGTCCATGCTTTTTGGTCGCTGTTATTCTCCGGTGCCTGAACCCTCCCCCCTGACATCCATCCCACTCTCTCCCCCGACCCCGGTCCCTCCCCCCCTCAAACCCCTGCCCCCTGTCTCTCTTTTCGTCTGGAGTCGCGGAGACGCATCCCCGGTCCCCAAAACGTCTGGGGTGTTATTAATAGCGCCGCCAGACTCTCACTCGCACCACCAGCCTACCATCGCACGCATCTCGTAGAGACAGACAGAGACGTCACGGCAGCAAGCTGCAATGCAATGTAGCGTTGCCCCTTGCAGTAGTCGCGCGCGGGAAGAAGGGCAAACGAAGGAGACAGAGACACAGGCGGGCCCCCCTCTCCCGCTTCTTTCCCTCCGGCCCGTGTAATAACCTTATACAAGACATGGTTAAATTCCCGTGACAACCTTGAGTCCCCTACTAGCATGGTGCTGCAGTAGAAGCTACGGTTGCACTGCCCCCCTGGAGCAGAAACGCCATCCGCTGCGCTGCGGTCAATGACGGGAATGCCTGCTGCTGCAAGCTGAAGAGTGTGTAAAACAAACGAGAAGAGGAAAAGAAAGGAGGGAGTGCGCAAAACGAGCCCATCGCTTTATTCGCGGGTTGCATTTCCCCTTCGGACTGGCGGCCTGCTACTGCTACCACCACCACCATCACCACTACCACCCATCCCACTCACTCGTCGATGGCGGGCTACCCCCTGCGGCTCCCAGGCACGCCAACCCTCTCTCAACGTCGCTTCCTCCTTCTTGTGTTTCCTCTCATTTCTTGGGTTTCTTATATACCTTACCGCCCAGTGTCGTCGACTGCTCGTTTCCGCGAACCTGGCTGCAACATCGCATACAATACGCTCTTGGCATCTTGTCTTCGCTTCCCCTTTTCGTTTACCATATCCCTCCGGGCTTCACTGCCACTTTACTCCAGACGCCGTTCAAGTCTGGGGAAGAAAGTCTAAACGGGGGGACTTCAGGAGGAAATCGGTTATTTAATCCCTCCTCTTCGCTGTTGATGGACCTTGATTGATAAGATGCTGTCTCTTTTCATCACATCGGCATCGGTGTCCTCGGGCTTTCGGGCTTGAGACGTCAGTCTGCCTTCATAGACGCTTAGAAATCCACCCAATGCAAGGGTGGGCAACGCGACGCGCGGAGAGAGTAGCTCCCGTGCCAAAAGTTGGAGATCATATATGTGTGGTATTGATGCAATCTACTTTTTATGCCATGCCGCCCCCTTTTTTGGTCGGGGGAAAATGCAACTATCGTACATGAGTATGCCTGGGTTCCATGCTTCTATCGTGCTGTTCGTGAAAAACATTGTGTGCGCTCTCAAGTCATTAGCTACACTGTTAACTGCTCATTGAACCATTATCCCAACTATTTCCGAAATAAACAGCGCCTGTGTTGCCGTACGCTCTTTCTCGTGTGGTTGTTAGCTAGGAACACGCCACATCACTACTATTATACAAGGATCTTTGCCCAACTGCAGACTCGTGCGTTGGGGGGATGGGTGACGGAGATAGCAAGAATAACGAATGTGGATGAATTTTGTGAGAAACCGCTGTCGGTAGAGCCCCAAGCAGTCCTTTCCCTTGTGATTTGCATGACAAAATCCGGCGCAGCATTGAAGATAACGAGCGTTCATTCTCTGCTATCAAGTCCTGTCGAGTCGTAGAGGTGGTGATTGCGCCGTTCGATCGCCCGTCGGGTATCGTGGGGAGTCATGGCTGGCGACTCGACTGAACTGGTGTTTACTTCCCTCGCGAGAGGCGTGTCCGAGGGAGTCGGGGATCGGGAATCCCCACGGTTGTCGGTAATGGCTTAGGCGAAGATACCGACGATTGACATGCCAGCGGCTGCAAGAGAGTTAGCGGGGTTTGTGTGATGGAATGAGATGAACTGACCTCCGGCGAGAACGTAGCAGAACGCGGTGATCTTGTCCTTCTTGGTGAGGATGCGGTTGGCCTCTTCAGAGAGGAAATCCTCAGCCAAGAGGTCCACCAAGGCAGCGTAAAGCAAAAGTCCGGAAGAACTGGTTTACATTAGCAGGCAGAGTGGCATGGGGCAAAGCTGCACTCACATGGCGTTGAAGACACCAACAATGATGAGACCAAAGGCACTGTCGGGGTCGTATGTGTTGCGGGTGGCGAGACCGATGGCCTGTCCGATGGGAGCGGTGGTACCGAAAGCAACGACCAGGACCCACGGACGGATGCTGCCCTTGGGGTAGGGAACAGCAGCAATACGAGAACCGAGACCAAGACCTTCGAACATTTGGTGGAAAAGAATGGCGACGAGAAGGATGATGAAGCCGTCAATGGTAATGGAAATGGTCATGCCGACAAACACCGAGTGAAACAGAATACCACCCTCAAGCATGGTGATGTTGAGCGACATCTTGCGATACACAGCGGGGTCAACGGCCTGCCCCTCCTCGTCATAGAACGGATCTTCCTGCTTGACCTCCTGCACAGCGACCTGCGAAACCTGCTTCTCCTGGGTTGATCGGATCATGTTCATCATCTCCATGCGCTGGCGCACATATTGCTCGTAAAAGACAACGAACCAGGGTGGCATATCGGAATCGGCCAAGTTGGATGGCGGGGGCGCGCCATAGGTGCTCTCCTGGTACGACGGGAACTTCTCGTCGTAGGCGCGCTGGGCAACCTTCTTCTCAAAGTCGATGCTGTCGGCCTCGGCATCGAAGCTGTTGCGTCCATAACGCGGCGGTCTAGAAGGCATTCCCACGGCATGATCGTGCGCACCATGAGAATGCGACCCATGCATGACATCGCCTGTTGGGCCGCCGTGCGAGTGCCCTCCAACCTTGGAGTTGATCCACATCTCGATGGTGAAGAGAATGAACATGGAACCCATCATGATGGCGCCGGGTAGGGGAGGGTAATCATCGGTGAACAGGTCCGGCAGACACGGGTTCATGAGATTGCCAAAGGCGGTGGGAAGCAGCTGTGTTGCTGTTAGTCTCTGACGACCGCCACAGAGGTGATGCACCTACATGGACAAATGCCGTTGCGATCAGCACGCCCGTACCGAAATGCTTGCATGCGAAAAAGACCTTGGGAGGGACCTTCAACCACTTGACCTTCTTGGCCATCACGGGGAATCCAGCTCCTGCATCCACTCAGTTAGTTTCCGGCCCCACGAGATCCTCGTCGCTTGTTTTTTGATTGCGTACCAAAGATTGAAAATCCCAAAACCAAGACTGCGCCAAGTTAGCCAAGTTGTTCGATTAGGTGATGTTCGCCAGGTTTGCGACTTACAAAGACCGGCGACGTGCAGACCGACATCGTACTCGCTGGTTCCGCCCTTCTTGCCGCCGCATTGCGGCTTGGGCTCCTTCATACCGTCCATCTTGATTAAAAATGGTAGTTTTTTGTTTTAAAAGGGACTACTACTTGATTGGTAGCCCCAAAAGAAAAGCGAATTGAAGTTGAGAATGGAAGGGACAGCCAATTGTCCTGGGCTGCCTAATAACGACGACTCATTTGAGAAAGGAATGTTACTGAAAACAAGGGGACACGAGAAACCGTCCCGCGGCTTCAGTATGAATAGAACAGACGAAAAAAAGTGCTGATCTAGTCCCCGCTGTCGTAATTGTCGGAGAGGGCAAGGAAGGAAAAAAGGACAGGACAAGAAGAGAAAGGAAAAAAGGGAAGGAAGAAACGGGCGCAATAAGAATCGAACGAGACCTGACGCTCTGTGGCGAGCAGAAAAAAAGGCTTGGGCAAAGTCTGGGCTCGACTTGCTTTAATATGCTTCATGTATGACAGCCCGCGCAATACTTCCCGCGTGGAAACTGGTAGGGCAAGAATAAACGTCGACATGGGACAACAGCCCTTGCGCCAGTACCGCCCGGCCGAATCAGAAATAGAAGACTGCGGCCAGGATGAGGCAGCTGAGGAAAGGGACCTTTGCCTGTGGGTTCGCGATGGGGTACGTGGCTGTAGCGTCCGCCTCGCGGGAAGCGGGAGGCGGGAGGACCTGAGTGGGAACAAGGTTGTCCGTGGGACGCGGCCGTGAGCATGGGGCGGAGGCGAGGGAGAGGGTCACGACGAGGACGAGGAGGATAGGCTAAGTCAACCACGGTTCAAAGGTGCAGTTTGCTGCGGTGCCTGAGACCCAGCTTGTCTCTGGGCATCGATGATCCCAGGCGTCAACCGGATCCGATGTTGGCGGATTGTTCGATCATGTTTCTCGTTATAGCATGATTTGCCGGCAGAACGAGACTGGGAGTCTGAGAGCCCGGCTCGACCTGACGGACTGGAAACGAATTGGTGGGCGGATAGACGCGGATTGGAGGGTAGGTTGTGTCTATCGGCCGCAATTCGTCTCGACTTCTTCTGCCACCGTTGCCGGCCAGCGCTTGGCGTTGGGCCATACTGCATAGCAGGTTGCTGTCTGGTTTGGTGTAGTCTTAGTTGGCGCGAATGATAACAACCATCCAAAACGAGACGACGGTCGATCTTCCATCGGGAAGTTGCCAGCCCAGGACAAAAGACGACGCAAGAGGCCACAGAAGGCAGGGGTGTGGGACGTGGGGTGCGCGTCAAATGGGGCTTGCCGGCATATGAAAAATTTGGGTTGTGTGAAACGGGAGGTTCCCGGGGTCTGCGTCCAGGGTCGCCAGTCGGAGAATTCTTAAGTCGATTTGACTCTGGAGAGGTGTCTGTCCCTGGCGTTGGCGGCGCGGGGGCGGCTGGAGGATGGAGGAGGCGGAGGAAGGGGATGGCTCGGCGGGACAGGCACAACCGTTGGAGCCAAGAGCCGAGCCAAGAGGCCGCTGACACGCTTGGCTGCCATTCTTCTTCGTCGAAGAAATTAAGCTTGGCGGGAGTCTCCTCTCTGCGAGATGGCTAGCTGCCTTAGCCCCCGAGATCGTGTGCCTGCATCCGCACTCGCATCTGCCGCTGTTGCTGCTGCTGTGGCTGTTGCTGCTGCAAGTGTCTGTTCGTCGAGGTGGCCCAGCAGCACAAGACAGCAGCCGCCGCAGCACCCTTGACACTGACCTTCTGGCGTGCTTCTTTTTCGAGTTCACATCAGCCCTGCCGTGGGTCTCTGCTGGGTCTCTCTGCGTCTCCTGTGTCTCGTCTCACGTGCTGAGTTGCCTAATCGGCGGCTGGGTGAGGGGCAGGTTTTGGCGGTTTACCTAACAGGCGACGATCGGGGTCGGGGCTTAGTCGGAGGCTGATGCATCATAGCTGATGGCTGAAGCTCTCGAGGCAGGCGACTGACTCTGAATGGGCTCACAGATGGGATGGGATGACATGCTGGAGGGCAAACGTCGTCAATGGTCGCGCACATCGGGTTTCTGGGCAAGGGCAGCTCAAACCTGGAGAGCCAAGGAAAAGAGGGAAAAGAGGAGCTTCTCTCGGCGTCTGAGATCAAGCGAGGCTGGGCGCAGCGACGACGAGACGACGTATCTGTCGATGTCTGGGACGCTGGAGGCGTGAGTGTGTGTGTGTCCGTTTGTTCTTGCAGTTTTTGTGAGGAAAGGTGTGTGTATGGCGCAAGGTGTCTGTGGTGTGTATAGCAAAGGATGGAAAAGCAACTATTGCATCCGAGAGCGTGATGCAGAAGAGAAGGCGGAGACGAAAAGAAGTGGAGCCATTGCGTCGGTTGTCGTTCATTCTTGCTTTCCGAGGAAACAAACATGCAAGACGTCCCGAGCGCTCAGCTCCTTTAGGCAGAGCAGGCCCTTGACTTTTGGACTCGTCAAACTCAACCCGAGTCTCGTGTGCAGCTCACAGACAGGCAGGCCAACAGGAGGCTCTGGATTACGCTACGGCTACTACGTAACTTTTGTCATCAGAACCCTGCCCGCACCACGAAGTAAGGTACGCAGTAAGGTACCTTGGGAGCCTGTAACAGCCCCAAACTCTTGGCAGAGGGACTATCGCTTCCTGTATCGGTGTACCCACGCGGCACCTGGGGCTGCCGTTCGGTGTGAAACAGCCCCGCCCGGCACCTCACAGCCAATGGCGCCCAATCACGGCCCCCGCTGCCCGCTGTGCTCGGATCGCAGTCCTGATCGTCCTCGACTCTCTCTCTGTCATCCATGCGCCATCACAACAAGCACCTTCGTCGTCGTGACATGCTGTTGCAGGGACACGTCGGCCTTTTTGTCTCCAGGCTAGCCCAAATGTGGTCCTTTACTTCACTCGACTCCGCCTGCCGCCTACGATCGCCCCTCGCTTACACTTTACTCGACCCGGCTCGACTGTCCAAGACCAGGAACACCGAAATAGATGCCCCCTGACCGACAAACCTCGTGCCCCATCACCGCCCTTCAACTGGCTGGATGCTCGACTTTTGCAAAGAAACAACCGGCAGACCGCGCTGAGAGACCACTCAAATCAAGAAATCTTGCCGTCATCCTGCCAGGGGCTGTTGTTTCCCCCTCTTTCTCGACACGTTCTAGCCCGCCCGCACATTGCATTGAAGAGCTTACTGTTAACCGTCCACGTAAGAAGGGGCCGTCCATCTCTTGCAGCGGGCGGCGGGTTACCTCCCCCGGCGGATGCGGAATGCGGAGGCGGCTCATCAGAAGCAAGCATGGCATTACATGAAAACCACATACCTTTCAAATAGCATAGCATGGCACGGCATGTCGGCCGGATCTGTCTAATATATTACTCCCACTCGCAAATCGCGGCCTACCCGTTATTCCTCATCTTCCCTTCTACTGCATAGTACCAAGAACAGAACCCAGCTCAATAGCTTCCCGAAAATGCAAACTCCACGCGAGTCCCGGGACAATGTCCAACCATCGTCCAGTACGTGGGTTTCGCCTTACCTTTCTCTCCTGCCCACCCCCTTCACCCCCCTTTCCACTCACTCCCCTTGGCCTTGCCTTGCCTTGTCTGTTGCCTCGCACTGCTTGACTTGGCCTCGCCTTCGCCTCCCTTCTCTCCTACCCAATCCCTGGGCGCTGTGGTTGGTTCATCACATCCTCGCTGAGATGTGCGACGCCTGCTGCTGCTACTCGCATCGGATTGCCCTGCCCACTGACCACCGCTGGCCACTGCTTCATCCCACTACACCATCGACCACTCGACCGCTAACCATTTGCTTCAGTCACTTCATCTCGAGGCAACTCTGTCGGTGATCTGAAAAGTGATCCGAAAGGTGAAGCCAACAGTGAACCAGGTCAACACCTTAAAGACAACCAGGACATCATCACACCCGTCCCAGCCTCTGGCACGGACGACAAAGCTGTCACAGAAAGGCTCTTCACTTCAACTACGAACGACACAGCCGTTGACAAGCAGGACGCACGCGTCTCGTCCAACACTGACGGGGCCGACGCCTCCACCGTCGACACCTTCTACCGGCCCGACCCCTACGACTTTGGCCGACACCGCCGTGACAATGTCTCCAAGAAACAGATGAAGATTGAGCATCCCAAGGGTAACAAGAGAAAGCTCTCAAAGTTCTACACCCGCCAGAACGAGCTCATCGACCAGTTCCTGGGCGCCGAAGATGAAGAGAGGCAGCAGGTCGACGAGGATGCGCGGATGGGCCCCAAGATCAAGTTCGCCGTCAACGCATCCTTCACCGTCAACTTCTGCCTCTTTGTCATTCAGCTCTATGCCGCCGTCTCAACCGGGTCTCTATCGGTAAACAGGCACCCAAGACCCTGTGCTCACGGACTCTATGTTGACTCGTGAAATCCAGCTGTTTGCCACTGCAGCCGATGCTTTCGTTAGTAGACCTTTCCCCCTCGGTGAGGTGTTGGTGTAGAGGTTGACCAAGAGATGCCCAGATGGACCTCGTCTCATCCTTTGTAATGCTCATCACGTCGAGATTGGCAGCGCGGCCAAGCGTTTACAAGTACCCAGTGGTGAGTTACAACACGTGCGACGCCTTGGCAGTAGGATATCCGGGGTTGACAGAAGGGGTGAAAAAACTAGGGACGAACCAGGATTGAGACGATTGGCATCATTCTCTTTTGCGCTCTCATGACCACGGTCGCCATACAATTGCTGGTAAGTTGCCAAGTGACGGTTTGGCTTGGTCGGGTTTGGAGATGCTGATCTGGGGATAGGTCGAGTCAGGCCGTGCTCTTGGCGAGGGCAAGCGGGCCTCTGAGGAGCTGCACATCATCCCCATCGTCATCGTTGGCGTTGCCATCTTCGCCAAGGGCTCCTTGATGTTGTATTGCTTTGCCTACCGAAAGTACCCCTCGGTGCATGTCTTCTTCGTACGTGGTCGTCCCATGAGTCTAGCCCGTTCAGATGACAGTTGGGCTAATAATAGCGTGTGCGTAGATTGACCATCGCAACGACATCGTCGTCAATAGCTTTGGTCTGATAATGTCCGTGGTGGGCGATCGCTTCGTGTGGTATCTCGACCCGATCGGTGCCATGTGCATTGCCCTGCTCATCCTGTTCTCCTGGGTCGCAAACGCCTTTGAGCAGGTCTGGCTCCTAGTCGGAAAGTCCGCGCCAAGAGACTTCCTCGCCAAGCTGACTTACATGTCAATGACCCACGACACTCGGATTCTCAAAGTCGACACCGTAAGTTGGCGTTTGCCAAGTAATGATGAAAGCCGTCTCTGACAATGAAGTAGTGCCGGGCGTACCATGCCGGTCAGAAATACTACGTGGAAATCGACATCGTCATGGACGAGGCGACCCCGTTGAAGATTTCTCACGACGTGGCGCAAGAGCTGCAGAGGAAGGTAGAGGGTGAGTCTGCTGCTGTCGTTGGACTTGGGCTACAGAGCTGACAAACAATACAGGACTCGGCGATGTCGAGAGAGCCTTCGTCCACGTTGACTACGAGGACCAGCACAACATCCAGACCGAGCACAAAGCATTGTACGAAAAGGTCGAGAAGAAGCCCAAGAGGACGCTGAAAGAGATCCTGCTGCGGACGAAGAAGGACACTAGCAAGGTAGTCGAGACGGAGATCTCGAGCGGGCGAAACTCGTCCTGAGGAGAGAGACTGAAGGGAAGGGAAAAGGCCTGGAAGAAGGAAACTACGAGTAATAAAAGCGAAGAGGCTGGGCGTTTGGGCCGCAATAATCTGGTTTAATCTGTTTTATCTCTCTCTCCACGATAGTCGTTCCGGCAAGGTTGTCGACCCGACCCATCTCGACCCTGGCCGCCTGCTGCACACCAACAGCGGGAACAGACGGGAACAAGCGGAACAGACAGTCCCGCCTGCGACAATCATGGAGCCACAATGAGCGATGAGGTCTGCTCTGCGCAGAGCGGCATCGGAAGGACGTGAAACAAACATGGGGGGACGGACGGCAGATGGTGCATCCCGTAGAAAAGGCATACATAGAAAAAACATCAAGAGAAACGTAATGATTTTGAGCTTTGCGGAAAGGGACCCACAAGAGTATCGTCGTTTGTGTGTCCCAGACCCTTCTGAGGTGCGTATGCATGCATTGGCGACGATGGCGGGCTGGCATCGACAGATACGATACACGGCGGTGTAAGCTGGCTTGCGTCTGGTCTTCCAACGTCTGCGTCGTGAGAGATGCTACGCTGCTCGAGCTAAAATTCCCAGCCAAGCTCAAGCGACAGACTTGGCGGTGGAAGGCAGTATGAGACGGCACAGCCAAGCGGTTTTGTCGTGTTGTAGTCTTTCTTCTCTTTCCCCGGCCGTCGAAAGGCTTGGCTATCCGTACGCGCCTTTGCTCGTCGACCCCGGGCTTGGCTTGGCGGGGCGACGATGGGAAGACGCAAAAGCGAGGGGGGGCAACATGAGAGCACGGATGATGGCTGAGGAGCAGGCCCCCCCATGGTGTATGGTGGGACGAAAGGAACGTGCGGTCGATGGCTTCGACGTCGATCCAGGGGTTCTCCCACTTCCCATACCATGCTGCGGTCACTCGCCGTGGGTCGGGCTGTCTCAGCTCTCGACTGTCGTCGAGTAAGCATAACGGGGCGCCGGAGTGCGCTGCAAGGTCCAACCGAGCGAGAGACGTTGAGAAGTGAGGCTGCCATTATATTTTCCAGAAGCATTGCCGCGGATAACGAACAGAAAAAGAAAACAGATGAAATGGCCCGGAAACGGCCTTTGAAGATGCAACGGTCTGGCTCTTACCAGTCTCGTCTCACCTGATATCTCATACTAGACGTCGACTGACATTGTTCGCCGTTGGTTCTTGTCATGGATCGACTGGATGAGATGACTGCGGGGGCCGAGGAATCCGTCGGACTTTTTTTTCTTTCCTTCTCGTCCAGGGGTTCACATCAGCTCAGGTATCAAAGCTGTGATCATCGACGATGGGTCTCCGTCTGACGCGGCGGGCCATGCTGGCCGCCTATCCTCACAGCCTCAGCTCGCATGATCTTTCGCTTATGTTTCGGCAGTGTTGCCTTTTACGTTATGATTGTCGAAAACACCATTGCTGTGCCGTTTTAGCCGACGATGTCTATTTCTGGCTACCGAAAAGGAATTCAATAGCCAACTCAAGGAAGTTTTGCTATCCGGGCGCGTAGTGGGCACAGGCGACAATGGAGACAACGACGATGAGGACGACGACAAGAAGGACAATAACGAACGAAAGTAGAGATAATATAGAAAGAAGTAGTAAAGTGTAAAGAACTAGATCAAATTAATGGTTCTATGCCCGGCTAGCTAGAAGTATCTGCCCGGATATCCAAAATCACCCAAAGTCTGCGCGGCTGCCTGGCTGGTCACACGTAGACACGTCGCCGATGAAATCGACATGTCTGATCTCTCGCAGTATTTACGACAAGACCAAGCACCGAGACTCTTGAACGTTGCTGGTAATTCTCAACCTCTAAACTTAGGACCTAACATAGTTGAAAGACTGCTCATGAAGTCTCTAGTGAGCTTCACGAATGAATCTGGGTTGTTTCCATTCAAGGTTGAGGACCAACGTGCGGGTGGCTGAATCGAATCGTGAGAGACCTGAGGCGGCCTTAATTCAAGTAAACGTGCTCCGATCCCTCTTCATTGGATTTGAATAGCCACTCACGGAAGCATTAGAGCGTTTGAGTGAGCGTCTCATTCTTGATAGCTCGTGGCTGAGTGAGGACGTTGAGCGCCTTGGAAGAGACTTGGAACTGCCCAGCCTAGGCCACCGCTGAAGACAAGTAATATGTTATGCAACACATATTATCGATGCCCTTCGGATCTTCCTCGAGTGATCAAGCCTTACTGTTGCCTTGGGTCTCTTGGTGGGCTTTTAGGAGCTACCCATCGCGAAGTCTCTGTGCAAATACGAACGCACTGCCGGTCCAGAAAATAAATGCTATTGAGAGAAAGTGAGACCGAATGAAAGAATTACCATGCCCTGGCAGTAAGTACCAATTTTTGCACTTCTTTGACAGTCGATCGTAGCTTCCGTTGAATTAGCCTAAAACGGCAATACCGGCCGCCCCGGTACCGGATCGACCCATAAAACCCGGAAGATGGGGCCGTACTATGCCGGGTCTGTGCACCCTCCTTCCGGCCAGAAAAATCGGAGAAAGGACCAACTCTTATCCGGCGTAACGCCAAAAATTGGGAAACACCATCTCGCTACAGCTTCAATCGACGACGACGACGACGACGCCGACCGACGCGACCGGCACGAATTCGAGCGAACGAAAGACGGAGCGCAGCCAATTGAGCCCAGCTGCTCTTCCAACATCCCCCGGAAAAAAACAAGGGAGGAATCCTCTCATCAGCCAACCACCACCCCCCGTCCGAGCCGCGCCCGCCCACCATGAGGCCCTCCCCGATCCTCCAGGTGCTCAAGTTCAGGCACCTGCGCCTGACGACCAAGGACGTCAACAAGGGCTTCTACAAGGGAAACCGCACCGGTGCCATGGGTGAGCACACCAAGTACGGAGGATACAGGATCGACTACAAAAAAGTGCGGACGTACGTCGTCCCCGAGGGCCTGAAGAAGTGCAAGGTTAGTTTCCACAGGATTTCCACCATCACACACACACGGGGTGTCAAGCGCGGCCGTTGCTAACGTGTTCCAATGCCGCGCAGCTCACGCCTTTTGTTTCCGAGCTAGTGAAGCCCGCAGGACGAACGTACAAGAAGACCAACAACCCCGACGGACCCCGCGACCCAGCACTGTTCCTTAGCACGTGGAAGGAGAAGAACGGCTTCGACTAATTTGCCTGGGCCGACAAATGATGGCACGATTCGAGCGGCGGGGAGAAATGGGACCAAAGCCGCCAGATGAAGCTGTGCCAGCGGACAGCGAAAGACGGCTGAGTTGCCCAAAAGATGTATATACCCTTGAAGCATTGTAACAAAATGTAAAACGATTGCACGCCCAGCTTCGCTTATCTAAACGCTGGGAACATGCGGCACGTGAGGTACGCAAGATTCATCCAAAACTTATGTATACACATTAGGGTATTGCTGGTCCGGTCCGCGTGGATCACGCCGTCTGCTCGACCCCGCCGTTTGCAGTCTCTTTGCCTTTGCCCTTGCTGAGGGGAAGGTCCTCCGCCGCCGTCACGAACTTGTCCATTGGGGGCCGCTCGCTCTCGCCCGCCGGGGTTGGTTCAGGAGAGACCTCGGTGGCCTGGCTGTCCTGGACTTCTGAGCTGACGTGATCTTGGTCCATGGGCGGCATGGGGCTGATGGGGCGGCTGTCGGCGCCGGACATCAGCGTCATCATGCTCGCCGTCTCTGCGTCCTTCTTGCCGAGGCTGAATGGCAGAGCGATGCCGTCGAGGAACGGTCGCTTGCCAGCCACCCCGGTTCCAGGCACAAACTCCGGACTAAGGTGGTCATTGGCCTTCTCCTGCTCCTTTCTCTTCTCGATGAGAGCAGCGACGGGCGTCTCTTCCACGTCGGTAACCTGAGAGTCCTGAACCTGAGAGCTGGTGTTCTGTGACGTCTGGTGCTCGTCGACAACGACGCGCCGCTTACTACCGCTTCGCTGGATCGGTGCCGGGTCTTGCTGCTCTACGTCCTGGAACGACCTGGCCCCCTCGCCGCCTTCTTCCCTCGTCATGGACGTTTTCGCCCCCGAGTCCGCCTTCTTCTCTCTCTCCATCGTCATCTCGTCGTGCTTGGATCCCCAGAGCGACCACAAAGCCAGACCCAAGCTTTTGGTTCTCTTGCGGTCCAGCAGCTCATCCGTGGCTCGGCGTCGCCCAGCCAGAGCGGTTGGTGGCGGCTTCTCACCGTCACCAAAGTCCACAAACCCAGCCGCCATGTCCTTGATGATGTTCTTGTGCACCTTGGCCTTGGTGCTGGAGAACTTTTTATCAAACACAGCCTTCGTCTGGAGCCATCTCTTGACTGGCGTGGGCCTAACGACGCCAACCTCTTCCTGCTTGATGGTGCAGCCAGGCAGCTCTGACTCGGGAACGAGATCGTGGACCACGCCATGCCGGGTGATTCTTTGCCGAATCATGTGCTTCTTAAATGGCGGCAGCGGCATACCCGCCTTGCCGACTTGCTGCGGGACAGACTCGGAGCTCTCTCCTTCTTGCGGCTTGTCAGACTCGGACGCTGAGCTCGAAATGACACTAATGTCATCGTCGTCCAGAATCTCAATCTCCGTCTTCTGGGCTCTCGCCAGCGCCCAGGCGCCAAACTGCGCGACGGCTCGATACATGTACTTGGCCGGGCGGGTGAAGCTGAGTGTTGGGGCAACGTGGCAAAGGTCGTCCCACACCTGGAGCTGTACGTCGGTGGGCTTGTATTGCTCAATTTGTCGCATAGCTGCCTCGTCGAGGTTGGGGGGCGTGTACTTGGAGGGGTTCGCGCACTTGTGGGCGAGGTAGATTTGCTCATCGCGGAGCACCTCGCCTCCTCCAACCATGATCAATAAAGGTGGAAGGCCGCCGAGCGTGGGCTGCATAATAGGGCTAACCATCGGATGAGACAGAAGAGCATTCGTCGTGTACATCTAGAACAGTCAGTAGTGTTCCTCATGAACCCGAATTCACTAACCTGAATTTGATCCTTGACCGTGGTCAGCTTGCCGTCAATGGTTACAGAGAGCTGCAGCGCGGTCCTGCGGGGGTCTGCGTCCTCTGTGGGGTCCTCGTTGGTCTGCGAAACACCGTTGACAGCAGTTCCCTCCGCAGCGGGGTCCAAGGAAATCGGAGCGGCCTGCTTCTTTTCCAGCGTGTTGAGCTTTGTGGCGTTCTTCTCTTTGCCAGCCCTCGCCTTGATGGCTTGCTCTCTCATCATCGCCATGTCGTCCTCGTTCGGGGGCGGCCACGCTCTCGACGGCTTGTGGTGGAAGCCCGAGGGCGGGATGTAGTCGAAGGGGTTGTCGCCAGAGACGCTGGGGAAAGAGTGGGATAGGTCAACCCACGGGCTGATGAGGATCGCGCCGGCCGGAAGCGGGATTCCCTGGTCTCTCAAGATGACCATCATTGACAGAACCATGCCGCCGCCTGCCGAGTCGCCGGCCAGCACAATCGTGCTGGGGTCTTGGATCGTGAGCAGGTAGAGATACGCGGCGAGACAGTCCTGCAGCCCGCAGGGGAACGGGAACTGAGGCGCCAGGCGGTATTCCGGGGCAAAGACTCTCGCCTTGAGCTTGCGAGCATGACGCTGCATCTGGTAGCGGTGCTCGTCGACACTACCAAAGAAATAGGCCCCGCCATGGACGTACAGCATCGCGCGCGTCGTCTTGCCGTCGTTCTTCTTCCGCTCGTGGTAGTCGGACCGCATCTCGATCCATTCGGCCTTGAGAGGGCTGTTGGGCTGCCTCCATCTCCACCACTTGCGGCCACCAACAGCGTGAACGCCTCCGGGCCCCAATTGAGCCTCAATCAGCTCGGCGGACCTCTCGATGTGGTCCTCCGGCACCTGGGCATCCTCTACTTTGACCCATTGCGGATGCGGCACCCATTGGGCCGTGAATGCCTGCAACTCTTCGACGGTGTGCTGCGACGCGAACTCCAGAAAGGATCGGACGAGGTGCAGGCCTTCGTCGTAGGACAGGTGGGCGGTGGGCTTCTGTTTCAACGGGTTGCGGTTGAGATACTAGCGGGACGGACGGTCAGCTTGCGGCCCGTAGATTCCAGGTTGCATTGATGCGGAATCTGGGGAAGATGGATCGGGGGGCAGGAATGCTCTCACATGTGAAAAGAGGGTGGAGACGACGGTCGGCGTCACCGCCAACGACACCGACGTGGTGTTGAGCTTCAGGGGGTTCATGGTGACTACGTCTTGATGAGGCTCGCGACGAGGACAGCTGCTGTGCCGTCGGCAACGGCGGGCATGGAGCTTTTTGAAGCTTCCGGGGTGATTGGCAGGCCCGGGGGACAGACCATCACGTCGCGGAGGAGCACAGAAGAAAGCTGGCCCTGAAACCGCCCTCAAAGCTCACTGCCGGAATAGGGGACCGATGACATCACGCGGAGACCAAGTGGATGGTTAATGTCCGCGGTCCTGGTCAATTAGTCTAACAGTAGTTGGGCACGAACGGGCTGGGTTGGCGACTCAGGCAGTGAGACGAAAGTGATCGTGGGAGCTTAGCGAACAATTATCAATAACTCTCGAACGCTCACAGTGAAATTTGATCATGTTATCCTCAGCTTCTCGCCAGACAAGCATGCTGCTGGCAGCGGGACTCATCACGTATTCGGCAACCCAATCTCGCAGCTCAGCACAGGACCCTGCCCAGGCCTGAAAGCGGACCCGGCGGCGCCCCACACAGCCTTCGTCACAGTGCCGGGAGTCGCACGCACTATCTGCCCAAAAAATTGTGATTTTTGAGAATTGTCACCGAAATGGTCTGCCCCTCCAAGTACCCCGCGAACACCACAACCAGTCAACACGGCAACCATGGCATCTTCCAACCCTCCCACGGCAGGTCAGTCGAAACACGTCGATATCCTCATGTTTCTGATGATCAAATGCTGACACATTGTTACAGAGGCCTGCCAGTCCACCTTTGAGCAGGCTGTGGCCCTGTCTCTGCACATGTGGCCGGCCCTCTCCCTCGCCGTCCAGAACCACTGGGGCGGCCCGGACTCGGCCGACAAGAGAGACTGGTTCGCCGGCGCTGTGGCCGAGCTGTTCCCGGCCTACACCAAGATCGCCAACGGACAGGCCGTCCCCGCCAGCAACGCCATCGAGGAGCCCGATACCGAGTACATCGAGACCTTCCTCCTCCAGGTCATGGTCGACGAGTTCGAGGTCAACGTCGACGACGAGACGGGCTTCGACGTCGCCGAGCGCATCATCAAGATCCGTGCCGACTGCGCCAAGGGCAAGTTCGAGGCCGTCGACGAGCTGCGCAAGAACTGGGAGAGCCGCAAGGGCGCCAAGGTTGACGGGCTCTACAAGAAGATTGAGGGCGGCGACCAGGAGACCGACTGGGAGGACGACAGTGAGGATGACGAGGATGGAGACGTCGACATGGACGAGGCGCCACAGCTTGTCGCTGCCCCCAAGGAGAAGCCGCAGCCCGAGGTTGATGAGGACGGATTCACAATGGTCACGAAGAAGAAGCGATAAACAAGCGAAGGAAATCCGACTTGGTCTCATGGAGATGGTGCACTAAAGGCCGCGGCTGTGATGTACAAGAGTCCGCAAATTAAGAGCTGCCATACGAGCCAGAAAAGAGTTCAACCCCGGGAACGCCAGCCAGCAAAAGCAATTCTTACGTCTACTACTCCCAGTCGGCGTCACTGTCGCTGTCGTCGCTGTCATCGCTGCTTTCTTCGGCCTTGCGCGCCTCCTTGGGGCTGTTGGGGGCGCGGCTGGGGACGCCCGAGGCGGCGCCGACGACGTCGTAGCTGGCCTCGCTATCGGCCTGGGACTTTTCGTCATTGGACTTGCGGGCTTCGGTGGGCTTGAGGGTGGATTGGGAGGTCTGGGCAGGGGGCGGCTGGATGGTGGTGGAGGACTCGGTCGACGGCGGCCGGGCGGGCTTCTTCTGCTCGGCCTTGGCTGCGGCAGCGGGAGCGGGAGCGGCGTCGGACTCGTCGGAATCGGACTCTTCGGAGTCGGACTCGTCCCAGCCAACTTCGTCTTCGGCGGACGCGGCTGTGACAGGCGTCAGCATCACGGCATTCATACCTAGTCAGTCGGGCTCACCCTTGAGGAGGTCTCGGCGGCGGGCCTCGGCGGCCTCCATGCCGTGTCTGAGGAAGTAGTATCTCTTCCAGAACTCGGCGTACGGGACCTGA